CAGTCACAGCATAGCCTTTGGCTCTTACCAGGCTCAGCTGCCAACAGATGAATCCTCCTCTCCACCGTGGAGAAAATTCTCCAGTAGTTCAGAGGACCAGCTGCCATTTCTAACTCTGCTCACAGAAAATCAGCTCTGGGCTTCCCTTTGGGAACTGCCCTGCAGGAAAACCATGGTTACTGCACAAGCTGAAGCTCCAGTTTTTTGCTTCCTCTCATCTTATATTTGTCACATGTTTCAGGGTGTGATCAAGCCTCATGCCCAGATCTGGTTCACTCCAAAACGACTTGAGGTTCAGTGCTGCATGCACACAGATTTGAGGATTAATATCAAACCAGAAATTCTACATTGTTTTGTTTGCCAAAACCTTCCCCACAGCAGCATCCACACAGGATTAGGTACCTACATAGGTTTGTTTTGTTTGGTTTGCGAGACTAGCTGCAGGTTGAATCTGTATTTGTGGTATGTGTTTTGAGGGGGGAAAAAAAACAAGGATAAAAGTTGTTTTGTGGTGGTCTAGGGGAGCTTGGTGACTTCAGAAGGGTTGTAGGTTATATAGTGATGCTGAAGGAGAACACGGTGTTGGGAAGCACTTGGGTTAGGACATCCACAAGCCAAATTTTGGCTCCTAAACTGCAACTTTGCTGCTTTCCTGTATCCTGAGGATCAGCTGTGTTAAGTATCTCCCAACTCCTTCCCTAGTGGAAGGTGTCCCTGGCTGTGGCAGAGGGTTGGAAGTAGATGGTTTTTATGGTACCTTCCAACCCAAACCATTCTGGGGTTCTACGATTCTGACCCTTGACAGAAGTGCTGTCCCAAAAAATCAGTCTGATCTCCATTTTTCCATCAAACAGCTAAAAACCATGAGTTTGGAGTGCCTCCTTTTGCACTGGGGTTTGCTCTGGAGACAGGTGAAATCCCAGGTAACCTATGCAGAGCTTCCTAGAACAGAGAACTTCGGGTGGGCTGGGATAGGGCCATGCCCACACTGTCCAAGGCACCTGCAGGACATGTGGAGCTCCCCTGGAGACAGTGGAATGTTGGTGGTAGAAGCCTCTCATGAGGTCATACAGCCTTCTGAGGGTTGATGCAGCCCCCTGAGGGGTCACACAGGCGGGCTGTGGTGTGCAGTGCCGACAGGTGAGGCTTCAGCAGCACCTGCAGCCTCATCATGATGTGGACGCGGTGGTCCATGGCCACCATCGTGCTCCTGGCTTTCCAGAGAGCCCTGGCAGTCCTGGTGTCCCTGGTGACCCTGTTATCCCTGATTGCCCTGCTAGCCCCCAGGGCCCAACTCCCCACTGGTGAGTCAGGACCATCGGGAGCAGGTAGGTGGACAGGGAGGGGCAGTGGGGCAGGTCCCACAGATCCCTTCAAGGAGCATTTAGGTTTCAATATCCTGTTGATAGGAAATATAATACTTTCTTTTTGGCTGATGCTCAGCTGTGCAGCAGAGCAGGGAGGCTCAGGGATGGCCCAGAACACATAGCTATGCAGAACATTCCCTCCCAGATTCCAAGGCCCTGTGCTGCTTCCAAGAGCAATGCCAGCAGGATTGTTTAGGTTGGGTTTAGCTCCTGACAGCTCCTGCAGAGTTTGTTTTGGATCATCATGGGTGAGACACCTGGCACCTGCCTTCATGGTGCTCTAGAGAGGAAGGGACAATCAGGTCCACAGAGCCATTCCATGTTCCAATCACGGTTCCTGCCATGGAAAGTTTGTGGAAATATTTCATTTGAGCTTCTCTGTCCTGTTGACAGCCGTGGATGGAGGCAGTGGAGATCCAGGTGCTGGATCTGACTCTCCTGGACCCTACATGGCTTTTGATTTGTTTTGGGAATTGCCAGCTCAAGGCCCAAATGTGAGCGAGGCATCTGCTGCAGGTATGAGAATCCAGCCTTGCCTGGATGTGCTGGGCCATTCCATGATCCTCTGCCTGTGCTGCTGGTCAGTATGGACAGGGAATACCACAGAGTGTGACAGAAGCTCCTCACGGGGGTCTGGTGTCCCTGAGCTTTCCCAGCTACTCAGCTGGACCAAGCACCATGAGTGTCACTGGTCAGTCCTGACCAATAGCACTGCCCAAGAGACTGATTGCACAGCCAGGGATTTTTGTGGTGGAAATTTTTCATTCTTTCCCTTAAGGTCTGAAGAATGAAACTGGATTGGGAAACATTTCCTGGCCATTAATGGAACAGTCTGAATTCATGACTTTACTGAAGGAAACACTTCCAGGTACGAGTGACTCTTAATCACAGGAGTTGGGGAGCTGGGCTTTCAGATTCCCATGAGGAAGGGTGACTTGGAATTAAACTGGCACACTTTCTCTCTAAAGTGCTGGAGCCTGAGCCTGTGGATAAGGAGGCACCTCAGGAAGGTCATGAGGCAGTGCCAGTGCCTGGGGGAAACAGTGAGGCCCTTGAGCCAGCAGGTGAGTCAGGAATCCCTGTCTCTTTGCCATCCCTCACAACTCCAGGGTAGAGGTTGTGGCCATTCCTGTGTCAGGGACACACACTCATACCCTCTGTGAGTGCAGTGAGATACCCACCACCACTCACACCCCATTCCTAGGGATGACAGAGATTTGGGAATATCCTCCAGGTGTGGACAAGAGATTCAGCGCTGCTGAGGACACCAAGACAGACCCAAACACTGTGGAGGGCATGGCAGACACAGGCACAGTTGATGCTAAAATCACCTGGAGTGTCTTTGTAAGAGCCTTCCTTGTGTCTGTGGTCTGCAGCCTGATTGTTCTGCTGTTGCTCAAGGTGGCCCCTGCATGGGCAAAGGACATAAAAGAGTGAGTAACTTGTGGGGTGTGGGGGTTTGCCAAATGTAGGTGCTGCGGGGTTGAACCTGCCATGAGGCATTTCCAGTGTTGCCAAATTTTGGTACAGGGTAGCTGGACCTGCCAGAAACGGAGCTCTGGATGCCCAGTTGGTCACTGGCCAAACTCAGCAGAGATTTGTGCTGGGAGCTGGTGCCCCATGTTCTGTCCAGAGCTCTCTATGCCCACAGCTGCTGGGTGTCCACTTCCTATGGGATGTCCAGCACTGCTCCACATCCTCACACCCACCACATACCCAGCCATAGCAGGGCTTCAGCAGCTTCCTCTCTCTCCACAGGCGCCTCACAGCTTTGAGAGCCAATTCTGAGCTCCTAGACAGTGAGACTGGAGACAAGGAATTAGTGGTAGAAGTCTAAATAAAGATAAGCAGCACAATGGTCTGTGTGAATTTTGGATTGAAAGAAATTCTTGCTCTCTGCTGCATTCTCTGGAGAGTCCATGTCCAGCTCCCCCCATCACAAACAAGACTCAGCCATGTTAGAGCAGGTCCAGAGGAGGCCTTTAAAATTATCCCAGGGCTGCAACAGCTTTCTGGAACAGAAACCCTGTGAGATTTGGAGGTTTTCTCTTCCTCATCCTGGAGGAGAAAAGGTCCCAGGAGACCTTGTTGTGACCATTCAGTGGATAAAGGGGGTAATGGGAAAGGCACAGAGATATTTCTTTACCAGGGTCTGCAGTTCCAGGCCCAGGGATGAGGATTTTACCAGGGGACAAGGTTAGATGGGATATTGGGAAGCGACTGTTCCCTGTGAGGGTGGTGGGGTCCTAGAATGGAATTCCCAGAGCAGCTGTGGCATCCTCATCCTTGGAAGCGTCCAAGGGCAGATTGGGCAGGGGTTGTAGCAGCCTGGGTTAGTGGGAGGTGTCCCTGCCCATAGCAGGGGGTGGCACTGGATAGGCTTTAAGGTCCCTTCCAACCCAAATCATTCCATGACCCTATGTGATTCCAGGTAAGCAAGGCTTTGCACCACAGCAAAATTTTAAAGTATTGAGCAGCTTTATTGGTTCTTAACAACATTTAATAAGTGCATTTGTATATTCTCGTTTCTGGCATATTAACATCTTAAATATATGCGGCCATATCCCATATTTCAACTGAGATTAAAATGTGAAAGGAAACAAAACCAGTCTTGAATAAAAGAACAGGGTGAACATCTTACCTGGAAATACACAATACCGTAAAAGCCAAATGGAAACTCACTAGAATTCTCTTAAAACTCAGTGACATTTTGAATACTGCATAAAAGCATTTACAGGTGTCTCTTTCTGTAAAAGTACCCTGTATTTACAGAGACTCTTAAAGTGAACAGAACTCAGTGTTGTGCTGGAGTTTGTTTTTTTTTTTTTTTTTTTTGAAAATAGAGATCATAAAATACAGTGGGAAAGATATATCATTTACTTTGGGGACATTTATTGAAACTATCAGTGCTTAAACCTAAGGGACTAAAGGACAAGAAATGGATATTGCAGCTATGCAAGGGATGGGTTGTGCAATACAACAGTGAATTCTGTTTAATTTGCTACTCTGGGATTTTTCTTTTAATAAAAATCTCCCAGGGTGGTAGTGGTAGCACCTACTGCCTTCTGGGAGAAGGATGCATGGATCTCATCCCAACAACAGTCAGGAGCAGCACCTGGAATGGGGTTTGGTCTCTGTCAGGAGTCCCACACGTTGTGAGGCTCCCTGCTCCAGGGAACAGACCTGGGAGTGTCTCCTAGCCTCTCCTGGATGGCTTCAGGTCAGGACACTGACAGGAGGACAACTCTCTCCCTCTCTTTTCCCTTTGCTGCAGCCTCTCCATTAGCAGCACTTTGTTCCTGAGCTTTGCCAAATCCTCCCAGAGAGGCTTTGTCTTTCCAATGGGGATCTAAAAAGAAGCCTTGTTCTGAGTTAGGCTTTCTGTAACCCCAGAGACCTTGGCCAAGATATGTCCTGAGGCTCCTTCTTGTTGGAAAAGGAGTCCCTCAGCCCTGGAGATGGATGACCCCACTGTGGCACCTTGGCCATGACGTCCACCAGAGCTGAAGGATCTTTGAAGATCCCTTCACTAACTCTGCATTCCTAGGAGGAAACAGCCTCCCAGAATGGCAGTTCCTGTTCCAGTCCTGTCCCTGTTTTGCCACCTCAGGTACTGCTCACCCTCATCCCTGCTCACTCCACCCAGGGCCACGGGCCTCTGGCAACCATTTCTCTCTTCTTCAGCATGGGCAACTGTGAAGCCATGGCATCCTGTGGGGGCAGCAGACGGGAAGACTCAAACCTGTAGCCTGCCAAAATGCTCTTCTGAGGCTCTTTGAGCACTGACCAGAAGATCTCGGGCCTGGCTCTCAGGCCCTGTGCTGCCTCAGCCCCCGGCTGCTGCAGGATGAACACCTTGGAGACCTGAGGCTTCCTGGCCTGGGCACTCCATGGCAGTGATGTGCTCCCAAGAGGGACTTTCCTTTCTCCTCCTCTTCCAGGAAGAAGTTTCTTTTCTCCTTCTCTCCCAAGGAGATATTTCACTTCTTCTCCTTTGAGACAAAACTTCTTTTCTTCTTTTCCAAGAGGAACTTTCTTTTCTCCTCTTCCATGAGGAACTTTTTTTACTTCTTTTCTTCTGGGAGAAACTTTATTTTCTCCTCTTTTGGCACGAACTTTCTTTTCTCCTTCACTTTCAAGAGCATCTCTTGATTCTTTTTCTCTTTTTTGTCCAACTTTCTTTTCTCCTTGTCTTCTGAGAGAATCCATTCTTTCTTCTTGTCTTCTAAAAGAATCCATTCTTTCTCCTTCTCTAAAAGAACCCCTTTCTCCTTCTCTTCTGAGATGAGCCTTTTCTCCTTCTCTTCCAAGAGATTCCCTTCTCTCTCTTTCTTTTCCAAGTTGAACTTTGTTTTCTCCATCTCTTCTGAGACGAGTTTTCTTTTCTCCTTCTCCCCCAAGAGATTCCCTTCTTTCTCCTTCTTTTCCAAATTGAACTTTCTTTTCTCCCTCTCTCCTGAGACGAGTTTTCTTTTCTCCTTCTCCCCCAAGAGATTCCCTTCTTTCTCCTCCTTTTCCAAGTTGAACTTTCTTTTCTCCCTCTCTCCCAAGAGAATCTTTTCTTTCTCCTCTTCCTCCTCTTTCCCTCTGAGTTGCTGCTGCCTCTTTGTTGCTCTGCATCAACTCTTGGCCCTTGGGCACAGGCTTGCCCGTGTCTTGGTCAGCCACAGGCTGCTTTCTTCTGGCAGCAGCCCCTGAGATCACTGGCAGCTTCCTGGAAGACACAGAGGGAGAGGTCTGGGGCCACATTCTGCCCACAGGAGCTATCTGCCCCTCAGCTGATGGCTGTGCCCAGCTCAGGAGAAGAACCCCCTGAGCTGGAACCCTTGGCTGACACTTGTCTGTCCCCATGCCTGGCTCCAGCTGTCATGAGGGACCCTTCTGGAGGGATGAAGAGGAACCAGCCCTGTGACATGGGGGGCTCCCAGCAGCACCAGTCTGTCTGGTGGACGTGCTGGGGAACAAGCTCTGGCTGGATGAGGAAAAGGCCCCATTGTCCTGAGCCTCCAGGCTCACCTGACCCGAGGGCTGTGCCTTATCTCCATCACCTCCTCATCCTGGGGCTGCTCTCCTGCCTTGGCAGTGGAACCCTGGTAAGCAGGCATGGGCAGGCCAGGAAGTCTCCCTGGAATCAGGAAGGACAGGGCTTGTCAGAACAGCATAGCTGTGATGCTACTGGCCACAAGTGACAGATGGGGATGCTCAGACCTCTTCCTAACACATCCAACAGGGAATTCCCACTCCCCTCCTACCACTGTCTCCAGAGGCCTGGCACCCTCCCATCCATAGTGCCAGGTTTGGGATGGAGTCTTTTCTGAATGCAGAGGTAATTTCTGGGAGCAAGTATGGGCCCTCAGATCCCCACCCTCTTGCTGAACCAGGGATGAGCATCTTGGGCACCTTCCAGCCCAGGGCTCAGCTCTTGTGGAGCCAGTCTTGGGAGAAAAGGCCATGACAAGCTGGCACCATGGCTTGGCACAATCAGATTCTTGTGACAATCATGGCTGGGGATTCTCCCATCAAATAACAGCCACCAGTTGCCTGTGCTATGGAAACAAGTGGGGAGCTGCTTTACCTTCCATGCCTTGTCTTATGGGTGGCAAACTTATTTTGTTCCTCTTGTCCTCTCCAGGAACAAATCCAAAGTCCTTGAGATGATCCCTGGGCAGTGATGTCGGCTGAAATGTCTGTTCAAAGCTGGAGACAAAGAGACAACACCATCCTGAGCCACGTCCCCACCGGCTCTGGCCCCTTGCCACCATCACCTGCTCACAGGTGAGTTTGGCAGTAGGGTAAAGGCCACTGTTCTCCCAAGTCAATTGTGCCCCAACCCCAAGGACTGTCCTGGGAAATAGGCTCACTCAGGAAAGGATTCCTGGCCATGATGGGGAAACAAGGGTTGCCTAAAATACTCCCTCTGTCCCTTGGGTCTGTTCACAGGGATGATGAGCAGGCAGGCACAAATGAGAGTCAGTGCTCTGCAGAACTGTTGTCGTCATGAGGAGAAACTGCTTCCAGATCTCTCCAGAGGCCAAAGCTGCCAGGGTGTTTGACTCACTTGGGAAAGATGATGACATGGCCACTGAAGCTCAGGGAAGCAACGGGCACCACCCGGGAAACCACAATGTCCAGCTGCTGGAGAGCCTGCAGCACAGAAATGTGAGGGTGCCAGCACATCCTCAATGTGGCCAAGGCACTCAGGAGAGGAGGAGTTCAGGGCAGGTAGAGCAGGTGGAATCGTGCTCCTGCCTGGTCAGAGCCCCTGGCCAGATCCTGGTGTCCATATGCCAGCATTGCTGGGGAACTGCTGTGGGTCGGCCCAAGCAGGGGGGAAACAAAAGGCTCACCTTTAGTGTAGCCCTGTCCTGGATCCTCTCCCCAGTCACTTTCTCCAAGAAGTCCAGGTAGAATCTCATTAGCACCATGCTGCCTTCAATGAGGAGCACACCCACATCCCTCAGGACAAAGGCGACACTCATGCCCTTCTCCAGGCAGTGGTGCAGCAGGGACATGGTGCCAAGGATGCAGCACTCCACTTTCTTCCGGGACACAGAGGCTTGTGTGGCCACCTTGGCATATTTCAGAGGCTCCAGCTGCTTACCCCCTGGAAAACCAGAAGACGGGATTGGAGGAAGTTCCCCAGGGCTTGGCTTAAGGCATTTCCCAGGAGATGCTTTTAGAAATGTGGTGTAATAGCCTACTTCACCCTGGGCCTGCAGGGTTAAATCCTCTGTCTTACCAGCCAGATCATCCCTATTTTCCAGGTTTTGGACTCCTCCGAGATTCCTGGCCAGGTGGAACACTGGCCTCTGCAGGATCACAGTCTTGTTCTCCACCAGGGTTTCTGTGTGGACCACATCAAAAGACCCAAGGGTGGGAATTCGGATCCCCTGGAGAAGAAGGGAAAGGCCCAAAGGGTTAGAATAGGACAGAGGGAAGAGCCGAGGATGATTCCATCAAGGAATGGTGCCTTTGACCAAACTGACAATTCCCACTGTTCAGAAGTCAGGACAGTGGGGAGAGCCCTGGGGAGGAGATGCTGGGGCCTCTTTTTTCCCTTCTCCCACAAAAAAATCCATGCTGGAGTCAGACAGAGGCAGCTCAAGGACACCCTGAGTCTCCGGTGACCAGGCTCAGCCCCGTGGTACAATGCCACCTCCCAGAGGTGATACCACTCTTGCCCAAGCTCCATTTGTCCCTCAGCAGGGGAATTTGGGGTGAGCTTCCTGCATTCTGAGGAGGGCAAGAGGGACTGCAGGCCATGATCCATGAGGAGGGCCATGGAAACTCCTCACTGCTCTTCTGGGTGGGCAAAGAAGGACATCGGTATTGTCCCAGGGTGTTGCCCCACCTTGTGCAGCAACAGCTGTTGTTGGATGTTGCTGGCCACTGCATCCCAGACAGCCTTTCGCTCTGGAAAACAAGGAAATACCAGGTTATTCTGTGTTTCTGCTGGCTCTCAGCCTTCCAGCATCCCTGGCATGTGTGTCACAGCTGTCCCCAGCTCCACAGGGGTCAGTGCTGATTCTTTTCCCCACATCCCTGAGAGGGCTGCTACAGCAATGCTCCTGCCTGTACCTGTGGGGGTGATGCTGGGCATCGTGAACACAAACTCCATCCCACCCCAGAAATCCATCTGGGTTGGGCTCACACCACTGACAACAGCCATGCCCTCAGTGGTGAGGATGTTTGCCCTCAGGGCTCTCTCCAGAGAGCAGAACCCACCTCCCTGAGGCCCCTCTTGTCCTGCTGTGTCACAGGCTCTGTGTGACATCACAGTCCCACCGCTATTCCAGATCAGACTTTTGAAAAATGATGCTGAGGGCCCTTTAAATGAGGCTTTGAGCTTTAAAAATCATAAACCTTGGAGCTTATGAGTGCGGTTTTGTAGTCCCAGAGAGTGGGTTTGGACCTCAGATCAATTCTTTGATCTGCCAGGTGTGGACTTTGGGGATTTAAAAGTAATGCTCTTCTCCCCAGTTTTGAGGCTTGTATTATAAATAAGGATTTGGGCTTGCAAAGCTCAGTGTTGAGTCTGAGAAATAATCAACAATAATCTTTTGGACCTTGAAACTGTGTTTTGAAACCTCTACATTTTTCTTTTTTTTCCCTTTTTGTTTAAAATAGTGTTTCAATAGAGGGGTTTCATTACCCAAGGATTTCTTTCCTCAGGATCCCGTTGTGAGGCACCAGCTCTTAAAGCAAGCAGAACTCAGTGTTGTGCTGGAGATTTGTAAGTCAGGGAAAACAGAGACAATAAAATACAGTGAAAAAGATAAATGGCTTGACTTTAGAGACATTTAATGAATCACTCAGTGCTTAAACCCCAGTGAATTGATGAATGCTGTAGACTCCTCCAAAACAACTGGAATACAAAATACCAGATGACAGGATAAAATTGGCTTATAAATTGAGCAATATTGTGATTTAGAGTGACCTCCAACCTCCCTAATCTTTAATAGCAAAGCCTTTCTGACACCAAGGAAAGCATGATGGATCTTGTATGGCATTCATCTGCCTCTTCAAAGATGTCAAAAGCTGCTTGGGAGAGTTTATCTAACTCCAGTCTTCAGTGATCAGAGATGCCAAGGGGATTAAGGAGGGAATTTGATGCAGTCAGAGGTGTTACATTTTGGGAAGATAAACTAGACATCAAACCCAGTGATTTAAAGTCATTAGAGAGAATGAGGGCAACCTTAAAGCAGTTTGAGAGGGAAGCAAAAGCAAAGGCTTGTTCCAGGGTCAGAGCACACAGAGAAGCCTGTGGTAAAGAAAAATCTCCATGGCTGAAGTGACAGCTGAGGACTCTTCCTGAACCTCCACCAGAGACATTGTTTGTCCTTGCATGATGCAGCATTCGACAATGGAACCTCAGTCCCGTTTGTAAAATATCATTTATCAAAATTCTTATTGTATATGATTCCAAATGTGCCTCTCAAACAGTGAAGGTTCCCACTCAAAGCCATAAAGTTTTGTCTGTCCAGGCTCTGTCCTGTTTGCCCCTCATTAACCCTCTCATGTCCTCCTCAATTGTACCACCTTCAATTTCCCAAATAAGATGTACAAATCTGATGCCTTTCAATAATGTCTGGTTTAATCACAACACACCTCGACTCCAAAAGAAACAGTGATTCCCTCCAGCTACACATCAAGCCAAGGGGATTCAAAAAATGCCAGAGAAAACCAAGTGTGCTGGTTTGATTTGGATTTTTACCATAAAAACAAACATTCAAAAGTCTTCAAGTGTAATGTCCTTATAGGTAGGGGACAAAACACAACCAGCACTCAACCTGTGGTTATTTCCACATTTGAATATATGCAACTCCAGTATTTCCTGGGCATGGACTTGTCAGCATGAATTGGGGAATAATATTGAATTTGGGGTTATAATATTGATTTGGGAACAGAAATTCCCTCAAGCTGCAAAGCCACAGGGGAAAACCCTCACATCATCCAACTCAGGCACCAGAGAGCAGGAAGGGAAAACAAACAGAAGCCAGGAGGAGGAATTAATGATGCATTTCATGAAGAGAAATCAAAACTCATTTGTTGTTTTGGAGAAGGCAGCATTGAGAACCATGGCAATAGAAACTGAAAAACATCAAATTGATGTCTTGCCTGTCAGAGCGAGAGCAATAAATTATTATTCTCCATGATTTAATTTTCCCTTTTAAAGCAAATACTTCATTCTGCTCAGCTTTAAAGGGTGAACCACATCATTTGAAACAACTTAAAAATATCAGCGTAATGAGCTATAACACAGACATTTATAGAATGTACATGGGGTTGTGATTCAGCTTTTTTTATGTAGCAAGGAGCAACATTTGTTACTAGGAGGTGTTTTCCCCAGCAATTAAGCACAGGAGCCTCATTAAAATTAACTCAGAGCTCAAATAGCATAAGAGAATAATATCTGTAGTCTACAGACACACAGGAACAGCTGGAATGTTGCTTCTTTTACACCTTCCTTGAAGAATGATGGGAGTTTCAGGAGCACATCCCAGAGACTCCATTTCCAAGGTCACCTTTGGAAAGTCTAAATATTTAAAATAGATTGGATGAATGTTAATTGCTGTTACAGGTGGAATTTTTCAGATTTAATAATAATGGGTGATTATCCAGATTTCATTTTGAAGATCGTATAACTAAAATTGTGATAAAGACTGTAAGTACAAAATTAATTAAAGCTACAGGGTATATATTTTTCAACATGACACTGATATTTATGACATTTCTGGCAAGTTAATTGTGAGTTAATTAACACATAATAAATTACTGAAAGTGTTGTATTTCCTTTCAGTACAATTCATGTGAATTTGACAAACCCTCAAAAAGTACTCAAAAAAAGGGCCACCAATTATGTGATGTATTGACAAATAAGTCAATAATTCTCTGTTTTTAGATAGAATGTTTTGGCACTAAAAGCAGTCTTGGGAAAAGGCAGGTTCCAAGGAAAAAGCTGTGGAGGAAGCCATGTTGTGGCAATTTTGTATTCCCCTTGGGATGGCTTTGCAGCAGAAGTGTGCCTAGAGATCTGGGCATTAATGATTTTGTAACCGGAGCACAGAGCCAGTCGCTGAACAAAACAGGCCGCTGCATAAAAA